CCGAATCAGCTGTCCGGGATGAACTGAAAGGGATCATGGAGGAGTACAAAGATGTATTCCCAGACAAGCTACCCTATGGCCCACCACCCAAGAGAATAGTGGAACATGAGATTGAGACGGCGTCAGGAGAACCACCACCTCACAAAAGCCCATACAGGCTGAGCGTGGCTGAGTTGGACAAGCTCAAACGCTAGATTAACAATCTCCTTGACCAGAGGTGGATTCGGCCCAGCACGAGCCTATATGGAGCGCCAATACTATTCATTCTAAAGAAGGATGGCAAGTGGCGGCTCTGCATCAATTATCGGGCCTTGAATAAAATCACTACCACGAACCGGTATCCTCTCCCAAAAGTAGAGGAACTCATGGATCGTCTCCACGGAGCGCAGTATTTTACTAAAATCGACTTGGCCTCAGGATATCACCAGATACAGGTGAAGGAGGCTGATATCCACAAGACTGCCTTCGTGTCGGTTCATTTGAGTATACGGTCATGCCCTTTGGGCTATGCAATGCGCCGGCCACATTTCAGCGCATTATAAACCATCTACTCAGAGATGGTCTTGACGATTTTGTGCTTGTCTTCCTGGACGATATTTTGATATATAATCGTACCAAGGAAGAGCATTTGCAGCACATAAAGGCGGTACTGGACAGACTTTGGTCGGAGAAGTTTTTTGGGCAACTCCCAAAGTGCGACTTCTTCAGAACCGAAGTAGAGTACCTTGGCTTCGACGTTGGGAAGGACGGTACCAAGCCGTCGCTATCAAAGGTCAAGGCTATTCTGGATTGGCCGATGCTAGAGACCATCACAGACGTGAGGTCTTTCTTGGGGCTCTGCACTTTTTACAGAAAATTTATCCGATAGTTTAGTGAGATCGTTGCCCCAATGACGGATCTCACAAAGAAGAATGTACCTTGGGTCTGGGGTGACCAAGAGGAAAAAGCATTCAATGGGCTTAAGAAGGCCATGGCCACGCCCCGGCTCTCCAGCTACCCGACTTTGAGAAGGAATTCACCGTCACCACAGATGCATCAGAGGTGTCGGTTGGTGCAATCTTGCAGCAGGATTTTGGCTCTAGATTACAGCCAATCTGCTATGAGAGCAGGAAGCTAAACCCTGCTGAAACAATATACAATGCATACGAGTGGGAGCTGTTGGGGATCGTGTGGTCCGTGGGGAAGTGGCGGCACTACCTTGCTAGTCGTCACTTCACTGTCCAGACTGACCATAACTTTTTAAAGAACCTGGCCAATCAGCCTTTAGTCAACAGGCGGATTTGGAAGTGGGTTCAGGTTCTTCAGGGGTACGACTGTGACCTGGTCCATATACCAGGGAAGAAAAACCCCGCAGACTTCCTCTCACGCAGAAGTCTAAGGGATGTGCAGGAGATGGTCCATGTCCGAGAGGAAGAAGAGTTATTGGTCAAAAGTCCTACACAAAACTCTGTATGAAGGGCAGCGCTGCATCTTGAGTTCTGAGCGTTTGTTTGTGCTATGTGTTGACGACCGCTCTGTGCCTTATGTGAGCGTGCAAAGTTGTTGTGAGCCTGGGAGAACCTTGGTAAACGTCGTTGGGACGTTTTGATAAGGGTTGGAGATCGGAAGAGTCAAGATCTTGGTAGTGCTGGCTGTAGTGAGGTTTGCGAACTGATTGCCAACACTGTCGACGAGCCAGTGACCGTTGGGCGAGCCAAGAAGCATTGCGGTGAGGTGGAGTGACGTTGGAACTTGTGCTGGAGATAAGATCGTCGTGGTCAAGCTCTGAGAGATCCAAAAAAAGAGGCAGAAAGTCGTCAAAGAGCGCTGTGCAATACGTTGAAGGAGCTGAGTCGTATTGAAGTGAAGCAAGGTCCGTGGCTGGAAGCTCGAGTCAACAAGCATCGAGTTTCTGTGCTCAAGAGTTCCTGAGGACCAGGAGACAAAGGGAAACTTCAAAAGCCAAGAGTAGGAATAAGCACTTGAAGCTCTGGAGGTGACTCTGTACCGAGACGATATCTTGGTCTCTCTTGGTGGTGCATGTGAGCCAGCCAATCAAACGAGAGAGTGGTGTAGTGCATTTTGGAGTGCGAAAAAGTGGTGGGAATTGTGGAAAGCACAGGGCGATGCCTTTGTGACTGCAGTGCTTGTGAGCATGCTTTTGCTGTCCTCTGGCATTTCTATTCGTAGTGCTCGTTTGGTGCAAAGAGTCGTTGCAAGCACTTGTCAGAAATTGGTGTCATTGATGCCAAGGGACAATCTCCCTTTGGTAAGGTTATCAAGAGAGGTTGCTGCCTTGAAGGGGCGCCTTACCTTTCTGTGGGAGGCTGAGCGTACACGGAAAGAGCATGCAGGAAGTGTGGAAAGTGCTGGTGTCTTGCCTAGGACTTCTTTCGATTTGCACTCCGGCCCAATTTGTGGAACGGTTCAATACCAAGTGGCTTGTGCTCTTCTGGCTGGAATCTTTGTTGGTTGCTTCTTGTCTCTGAGTACTCTCAGTTTTGGTATCCGGATTGGTTCCTCCTTAGAAGAGAAATAGAACACGTGGCCGTGACTCAACCGCTGCATAGTCAGCAGTCACAGGTAATGGCCATGCCACATAACAATTCTGTCTTCGAAAGAAGGATGCGGCAGTGAACCTGCCCCTTGCATCTGAGCACTGCAGTGTCGTGCTCCCCGACTGTCTGGAACGACCATCACACACCAAGATCCCCCCATGGACATGTGCGCTCCCTGCAGGGAGCTGTCCGGGAAAGCTGACACATTTACTGAGACAATCCTCTCTCGGAAGTTACCGAGGCAGGAGCAACAATCGCAGGTGCAGCAAGTGCTCATTGTATTGTAGTTCATGTATTCATACTGTGAATCAGGGCGCGAGCTCACCATTTTGGGTATCCAAGGGCTATGAGCATGTGCTGACTGGCACGAGGATTTCGGCAGTTGGTCGTGGCATACCGCTGTGCCAAGCCAAGAAACAGCCATCAGATCACGTGGGATGGACCGCTTCATAAGGGCCCAACATTGTGCCGATTTTGGAGCAAAGCAAGTATATGACCTGTCTCCAACAGCAATTGTTGCACTAGCACTTGTGGCCACTCTGGGTCTTGGGGACGTGAATAGGTCGGAAGTGTAGTTGCTAGGGAAGGAAGGATGCTGTTTGTGGCGTTGTGCTTAGGTAAGAAGTTGCCACCGAATTTCGGATTGAAAAATTTTGTAAGCCCGATCTCGATGCGGGTTTCACGGGTATCATGCGCGACATATCTTGTTGGTGCGGCCAGCCTATTTACCGCATTTTTTCTAGCACACTGCATTTTCTGGCCGCATTCTTTGAAATCGAAGCTCAAAAGTAATATATGTCACAACACCTTTCGCAGGTAACTCGGATTCCGACCCAATTGTGATGGAAACAGGTCCGGTCTTCATGCAATGTGTCATGTGGAAGAATGTGGGCCGTGCGTGACGTATCCTGTTGGCGCAGCCAACCTATTTACCGAATTTTATCCAACAAGCTGCATTTTCTGGCCGCATTCTTGGGGTTCGCAGCTCAACCAACATCTGTCGAAACACCTTTCGCAGGTCTCTCGGATTCCGATTCAACTGTGATGGAAACAGGTCCTGTCTTCATGTCATGTGTCGTGTGGAAGCATGTGGGTGGATTGGAAGGTGGCTAGCGAGGCAGAGCGCCGCTGTTGCATCGTTCTTGCCCGCCTTTTGGATTACCTGTGTGAATGTAATTGTGCTGGACGGTGGCAGCGGGCATGCTGCCAGCCAAGGGGTGGTGCCACACAAAATGCAGCACTTTCTTTGACGCCGCCGTCCAGTACCGATGTGTCCTTCGTTGCTCATGGGCCTGAAGTAGATTCGCGCCCTGAATCAACTTCAGTGCATGCTGTTGCCAAGGCGCCGCCCCCCCCCCCCACCCCCCCCCGGCCAATAAGGGAATGTTGGTCCACAGTGGACATTGATGCCTGGGCTTGGGTGCTATTTGCATGCAATCTGCAGTTGTGGGTGCAAATTAAAAGTGCAGGGACAACTGCCATTGTCATGCCAATTATGGCCTGGTCCAAGACGTTCCCCGTTACGATGTAATAAGCAAGATCAGCAACAACCGTCGCACATGGGGTTTTGGGATGGACATCGAATCATTATCAGCATCAAAGTTACAACGAAGTCCTCTGGAAAGGCAACAAAATTCGTTTCTCCCAAGGCTTGCCCATTCGCACATTTCATTCCCAGGCTCCTCGCTCAAAATACAGCCGTCTTCCTCCCTCCCATTGCAGCTGTTCAGGCAGAGGCGAGCCATCCCTTCCCCAACCCCTTCCTTTCCCCTTTTCCATGTGCGCCCATGCCCACACATACAACTTGGCAAAGGAGTCCTGGTGCGCACGCATTCCGAATGCGCCCTAAGCCACGTCGACCTTATGGCCAGGTGCAGGTGGCAGGGAACGTTCACCACACCAGTGAACTTGAGGTGAAAAAAGAACCTATGGTCGTTTCCTAAGGGCTTGCAAACCTAAAAGAAAAACCCTGGAGCCCACTCTCCTGGGTGCACTCGCTAGCACACGTCTTATCCCATCTGTACTACCTGACTGTGGCCGGTGTCCTTCCCAGCCTGTCAGCACTCTGCCCACGCCTGTCGCCCCTTGCAGTGACCCCTGAGCTACCTGGCTCAGGCAGGAGTGCCGACGCAACAAGAACAACTATGAAAGGGTGAAAAAAAGCTCATACAGATTAGGTCGTTTCCCATGGACTACCATCGTTTGGTTGATCAAACACAAAGCCCACATGCCATGGTGGTGTTGATAAAGAAGTCCCCATACTTGCAGACGCAGATTCGTTCCATGGGGCTCGGCACAGCACCCTGACGGGTTTGCCACCCCTCCTCACCCGCTCAGGCCTTGCCCCCCTTAGCGCACAAACGCCTCACTGGTCACAGGGATCCAGCAAAGCGCACGCCCGTTGCAAGACCTCTCCTTCTATCCCGCAGGACATCAGCAGAACCTGCTGCCTCAGGACCTGGCTCAGTGCACCACACCCTGGGCACCCTCTTCCTTCACCCCTTCCACTCCCATCAGGCTTCTGGCCAGATCATTCTTCGGCATTGCTGCTGTTGTGTCAGTGGCGGGAGCCGCTTGGACCACCCGTAGGCTGTTGTCCACCGCTTGGTGCACAGGGGCTGCCAGCTTGTTGATGAGTATGCTGTCCATCGGTGTGCCTGTGCTGGCAGCGAAAGCCAGGGCCTGGCTGACTTGGGGGAGGACGCTGAGATACTCTGCTTGGGGTAAGAGCGCCCCTGCCAAGGCACCTGACCTGGGCACCTCCAGGCCCCTCCCGGTGGTGGAAGGCGATGCACTGACGAGGCATATGAGGGGGTGGTGAGGCGACATGGTTGGAATCGCCGCCCTCGCAGCCTGCAAGGCACCCTGGAATGCCTCTGTCTCGGTCCTCAGGCGTTTGCGCCGACGGGCGTTGTGGCGCATCAGCCTGTGGAAGGCAGTCACGCACAGCAAATCAACAGCTTTCAAGGCAATCGTGTGACAACTGCAATCGGAGCCTGCAGCTTGGAGCTCAGAATGAAACCAGGAGCTTCATAAGCTGGAACCCTCAAATCAGTGACAGGTGCAAGGCCCTGGCAGTGTCATAGCTGAGAAACGAGGCGGCTTGCATTCTCCAGCCCCTATCTCACAAGGATGGGAGAACGTCTGGAAAGCGGCATGTTCGACCCACCTTGAGCGGCAACTGCGTTTGCTACCATCGAATTCGGACAAATCGTGGAATCTTCCGCATTGTTGGCAGAAACGCTGACTGCAGCCGTCCTTCATGATCGAGCTGACTTTAAGGTGGTAATCGCAGATCTTGTACCGCACGTGGTAGTCCCTCAAGCCTGTCAAGTTGTTGCTGCAGCCATCCACTTGACACACACACCGGGCAGTCCTTGGAGGATTGAGAGAGGTTGCAGGTGCCTAGGCAGAAATGCAAGCCAAGAAGGCTGTCAGACAACAATCTTGCCACAAAGCGTTGCCAGGAACCAACTCTGAGTTGCAGGAACGCACTACGAATTGATTTGCTCGCATTTCCAAGCAATCCCCTTATTCTGCACGTGTACAGTAGGAATTGAAGATGAACAGGGAACACAGACCGGGATACACAAAGGTTAAACAGTTTGGCAAAGTGCAGGACTGCCTCCCACCCAGAAAGCGCCAGACAGAATGCCTACACAGTTCCCCTTTCTCTTAACCCTGCTCGCTCGGATATCAAACCAATCACCTTACCCTGGCAATGTCGATTGGCATCTCAGGCGTCTGCAAAGCAGATTTCGCCTCTTTTGCGGCATCTGCATTGTTCTGCAGTCCACAAGTCCCAGACACCACATCTGAGCACTCCTGCCGCTGTGCCTGGTTCTCTGAGTTCTGGCTGGTGGCATCCCCTGACATGGCGCCCTTGGCCACGGCTGCCTTGCACTGCTGCTGGGGCTGTGACACAGCAGATCCGCAAAGAGGGGCACCTGCCATCTGTTGGGGGACCTGAGCCAGCAGCAACTCTTGCCGGCGGCCCACCTTGCTGGCCTTATCCATCTTCTCTGACAGCTCTCCATTTGAGCCCTCAACCTGACGGGCCCCTGCTTTGCCAGCCTGTAAGGACAGAAGCAAGGGGAGCATGCCCATCAAGCCTTCCAATTGGGACCGGGCTGCGATGACTTCAGGCTTGATCGCCATGCCATTCGGCTCTGCCACACTGCCAGCGTCCATTTTTGGCTCCTGGTCATTGGATGTCGCCGGGTGCGCGTCGCTCATGTGGGTGTCCTTGCTGCCGGCCTGGGTGGCCTCCATGGCATCCTGGGCCTGCTGGTATTTCAGGCACAGCCGCTGCTGAACGCATTGCAGCTCCTCCACAGACATCTGTGGAAAGTTGATCATCGCCAGCAGCTCCTCAAGGTGCCTCACCCGGCTGATGTCCCTCAGGATCCAGGTGCAGGCCGCGTGCAGCAGGTCCACCTCCTTGCACCCCGTCAATTCAGGTGTCTTCAGCATGGCCTTCAGTTGATCGATCGTCAGGTCAAGGAAACCCTCGGTCTGGTGAACGTCGTCCCACCTGCCCATGCCAGTCGCAGTGCTGCCTCAGGAATGGTTGATTAGCACAACTGGCACATAGCGTTGGACGAAGAGTGGACATGCTGTTGGACGACGAAAGGACAAATGGGACAAACACCCCCCCCCCACACACACACCCCACCCCACCCTATTGGCGCATCCGTGGTGACGACCGCGACGCTCAACACCCTTGTCAAAATTTGCTTTCGGAAGACAGAGCAGGGCGCTTGCACCTTGCCGGCGATGACGGGCGTGTAGATATCCAGAAAAGCTTTTCTATCCCTCATCCAGACACTTTAATCCTCTCGCCACCCGAGCATGGGACGCCGATGACACTCTGCGGAGGGCGCGTCCCATCCGCGCAAAACGCGGGTGCATCGCGACGGTGATCCAGACATTCGCCGAACGGCCTGCAGGCTTGGTTCTCGCGATGCAGAGCAACACGCCACACTTCGGCACCCCTTCCCAGACATGCGACCTCCAGCCTCCCATTGAAGATGATGTTGGCGTCTCAACGAAACTCGATCAAGCATCCAACGCGACGAACGGAGCGCGAGAAAAATGAAACAGAAGCCTAACAAAAGGGAAACAAGGGTGGTGCGCGGGGGCTGATGCGCTGCCAGCGGCTCTGATCGCCGCGCAGGGTCCCCACCTCTCGGCGGCCAGCGCCAGGCACTGCGCCCTGAGCTCCTGCAGGCCCTCGCTCTCCCCGCGCGCGAACAGCCTGCAGCAGTTCTGCACATTGAGCTCGTCGGCCAGGAAGGCGCTGGCGAGGGCCTCCAGCGGCGCGATGCCGTACTTGCGCGCTGCCTGCAGCACGGCGGTGGCGTTCTCCGGCGTGAGTGGCGACTCTGAGGAGTACAGGAACCGCAGCACGGCCTCCATGGTGTCCCCGTCCACGTCGGGGCAGTGCACCTCCCGGCCCTCCCCTGTGCACAGACAATGAACAAAAAATGAACAAAGAACGCAAACCGGACGAGTCGCGGCCCGTTTTGATCGACGCCGTTGGGTCGAGGCGCCATTAGGGAGGCGTCATGGCAAGGGGCAACGTTTGTTGCACAGGAGACAAAGAGACAGGTCGCACAAAGAGTAACCCCCTCCTGAGCTACTGTATGCGAGACTCTTTTCCACCTGGCCAAAAGATGATACAGAGTCTCCGATGCGAAGTGATGAGCACACGACGCAAGGCAGCATGCACCCAGGGGTACCCACCTTGGGTGACTAGCTGGGCCAGGAGGTCGCTGGCGGCCGCCAGGACGACCCGGTGGCACGCCAGGCGCCGGCCGCAGGACGCGACCAGGCTCACGTCGGACAGGCGGTCCGCGGTGCAGAAGCTGGCCAGGCGGCTGAACACGGGCGAGGTGTGCTCCTGCGGGCAGCGGGACGATCAATCGAATCAGCCGATCCGGGAAAAGATTTGGAGGCTGGGGAGGGGGCAATCCGCTGGCGGAGGAGCGGCGACGATCCAATCGTGTGGTAGGGGATTCGATGCTCGACCGCCGGGGGGAGGCGCGCTGTCGACGGGTGATTCGGCGAGGTGCGCGGGGGCGGGCAGGTCGAGAGCGTATCTGCGGGCTCGGCCGTTCCGCTCCGGGGGGAAACGTTCGCCCACGATGCCCATCGCCTCCCCACCCCCCACCCCCCCTGCGTCGCAGGGTTTCTCGTACTCTGCCCTGCCGTACTCCAAGAGGCGCCCAGCGAGCGTTCGACAGATGCGCGACGACGCTCCCCGGCCTGCCGTGCCACCAGCCGGCCGCACCGGCCACCCCGTGGCGATCCCCCTACCCTCTCGTTCGCGAGTGCGACCGTGTCGACGCGCAAATTCGCGCGGCGCGACCGCGGCAATCCCGCGTGCCGGCACCGGACGGTGCGAGGCGCCCTGCCAGCGCCACGCCACCCCCTCTCCCCGGCTTCCCACGGTCCCTTGTCCGCGACTCCGCGCCCCAGCTTCCCTTTCCACCCCCACCCCCACCCCCCGTTCCCCGTCTCCATACGACATGACTGGCACTGACTCGTGCTGATTCTCCCCCTATCTGTTCCCACCTCCCCTACTGCCACCTGGCCAAAAAACCCCGCATGATAGCACCGCCGCCCGCAAGGCCCGCCATGCTCCCCCGCCGACCTGCTGGCACGCCTTCTTCGCCCTGCTCCACGGCTCATCGACCTGGCCAACCATCATGATGAGGTCCGCCCGGGCGGCGAGCGGCTCGCGCTGCTCCGCGACCCGCTAACGACGGCCCCAGCGGCCCAGCCGATAGACGGCGCCTTCGGCAAAGGCGTTACGCCCGCGCGTGACGCCCAGCGTTGCGGCTCCCGCCCACCGCAGCCGGGGTGGTCGGGGCTGGCTGTGGCTGGGGCCGGGGTGTCCAACGGGCGGGCCCAAAAGTGTGCGGGGCCGTGTAGCGCTGCCTGTCCCGCTTTGTACACCCGTCCTGCCCCATGCCGCTCACTAGCTGGCTCGAAGCATGGCCGCCACGTGGGACGCTCCACGTTGGATCTCTCCTCGTGCGCTGTACTTTGGGCGGGAAAGCCAGGGGGTGAGTAAATCCCCGTGACCGTACCGTCGCGGGCGCGCGGGGGACGAAGGGCCATGGGCCCAGTACATCCGGAACCTACTACCGCTTGCCGCCAACCTACTATACCCGTACGCGGCAGTTGCGGCCGGTGGCCGTTACAGATTGTCGTATGTCCAAGGCATCACGTGAGCGCATCCCGACTGGCGTCCCATCGAATCAGTCAATCTGAGCGTTTGGGGACGAGCTGGCAAAACAGTTCCAGAGAACGAGTGTGTGTGGCGGACCGAGTGCGTACTATGTGTCAGTATTCTGTCAGTACTTTGCGACCGTGAGCGAGCGAGCATTGTACCGGGGGGGGGCTCGCGTGATCTTGGGGAGGGCGAACGTACACGCGTTTGTACATTTCTCTACAACAAGCCACAAAATACTGCGTCCTCAGCTTTTCATTTGTTGGACGAGTCCGGGCGTCATGCCGGATTTGGCGCCCCACGTTGCAAATTTGGCAGCCCCGATTGCCTGGGGCCATCCCGTCATTGTCGTTGGTCAATTGGCTGGTGGGAGCCTGGGATGAGGACATCCTCACAGCGCACGGGTGCGCCTCGGTCTCCGATGAAGGCACGCCCCAGCGCGCCCCAGGGCCTGTCAATAGGCCTGTTGATTTCCTCATCGATAGGGGTCACCCTGCGTGCGGGGACACAACAAGAACGCTCGTGGGGAGCCGTGCAAAGCAGTTACGGGCATGCACGGGGACGTACGGCCGTCCCGCTCGCCCCTGTGTGAGAGGAAGCCAGCCAGCCAAAGGTACAGTTTGGTACCGTCGCTGGGAGTCTTGGCGGATCCTTCAGCCGCCGCCGCCACCGCCACGGACGGCGCATGCTGCTGGTTGCGCGGCGGACTGACTGATTGTACATTCTGAAGGGAGAAGGGCTCCATCAAACAGGCACGGGGCGCGAGGCCCCTGCGCCACTCGGGAAGTGCACGCGGCGGGTCAGTAGGCCCCATCAATTTTGACGTACTCTTTCTTCTGTCATGGCAGGCGGTGCAGGCGCCTTGGCATGGCCAAGGCTTGTGTCCGTCACCGCGGGGGGCCGCCAAACGCTACGGCAGCATTCGGAGGGCGAGGCGCTCCTGAAGGCGGTACAGAAACTGTACAATTGATTGGCAGGCCCCCATTCGATCGCCAGTGTGGCGACCGTACGTGACGGTACGGTTTCATGGGGCGGCCTCCCACCTTGTTGGGGCTTTGCTATGGGTAGAGTCCTCTTCCCATCAACATATGCAGTGCGGGACTGCCCTGTGTGGTGCGATTGGCCCCGAATGCCAAGGCAGTCAGCCAACCACTGCGTCATACAGCAAGGGCTGGCCGTGACAGCTTTCGAAGAGTTTTGCCGCATGGGCTGTACACAATTGCACAATTGATTGGCATCCTCCTGTTCAATTGCGAGCGGGGCCACCGTACGTGACGGTACAGCTCTGCACGGGACCCTGGCAACTTCTCTTTCGGCTGTCATTGTCAGCAGCCTCCTCTTCCCATCAGCGCCCACTGTGAGCGGATCCAACTCGCAATTGCTCCGGTGCGAGTGGCCGACGGACGCCGAGGCAGTCAATCAAGGGCTGCGTCATAAAGCAAGGGTCACGTCGCGACAGCTTTCAGAGCGCTGCGGCGCACGGGCTGTACAAAATTGTACACTTGACTGGCATCCTCCCACTCGACATCGAGCGGGGCTCCCGCACCTTGCGGTACGGTCTTGTAAGGCGCCTTGGCGCCTTTTCTTTCGGTTTTCACTGTCGGTGGAATGCTCTGCATGCCGACTTGCGCAAAGACGGGCATGGTGCTTCGTGCAAGGCGAGCGGCCGCCGAATGCCCCAACAGTCAATCAGCTATTGTGTTACAGAGAAAAGGACACGTCGAAACAGCTTTTGGGGCATTCCGCTGGACGGGCTGGGCGCAATTGTGTCAATTGGCCGGCACCCTACCAAACAGTCGCGTTCTGGTCGACCGGACGCCGAGGTCTTTGTACGTGAAATGGATTCTGTTGCCAATGAGTATCAAGAACGGCAGCTACGGGTGCCTTACAGACTATATGAGACGGCGCAACTGTGTTGTGCAGATCAATTGTACCGCCACACATAATATGTAAGGCGGCCTGTCAGAACATAAAGCCACATCAAAAATATTATTCAGTTCTTGGTAGCTGAACTTAGAATAAAATCAGCGCTTTCGGCACAGCCCTATAGTCATACAACATGAAGTGCCAATGGGCGGTCGCCCAATTGATGGCACCGTTTTTGATTGCAACAAAGAAAACTGCAGCCACTGTAGCAAGTCACAAGCTTGGCGGCTGTGCAGTATCCAGGAATATGTCGCAAGTGCTGCCTATTCGGTAAGGTGTGGTAGCTGCTCGTGAGCGCTCGAATTGCATGTTTGCCACCAGTTGCTAGTACTACCAGTTGCGCCAACCCTTTTGGCCCTCTTAAAAGGATTATATTTAATCGGCCTTTCTGATTAAACGATCAAATTTAATTGGCCTTTTTGACCGTTTTGTCTTAAAACGGGTCGCCCTAACGGGGCCTGTCCACTATAGTTCTCAAATGCAGTACAGTGTTTTGGAAATGTTTGAAGCAATAAAACGACATTGTAAAGAAATGCATCACCATCGAGTACAGTAAACGCGACTGTGATTTTGAACAGCAGACCGTGTCTGATAGATATGCAGGAAACTGGCAGCATCAGGTTAGTGGATGACGGAGGTTGGGTTTCACTGAATAAAATACCAAGATTCGTGTTATTTAATATTTCAATTGTTGAATGCCTCAAATGTAACATGTTTCTACACGTCTGCTGGCGGCTTTTGGATGACATTAGAGTATCCTACAGGATCAGCTGATATCGCATGTTGGCAACAATCCTATTGTTTTACCACCATTATGGAAACCTGCATGTAGGGCATTGTTCACCTCCGCAATTGCTTGGTTCAACAAGCTCGGGACATCAATCATGTAGCAGTGTATGATCCCACCGGTGACGAGCAGAAACGAGTTAATGCGTGACCCAAAAAACGTGTGTTCTTGGATGTATTGAAATTCAGTGATGTAGATGGACGTGAATTCTGTTGCCATTTTGCTCTTGGAAATGCATCCTGATTGTGGTGGTTTGAAAGTACAATCTTCCTTTTTTACATGTCCAATATTTTCCAGTGGATGCGCCTTTGAATCTGCAATAGGCTGGTGTATATAGTCGCTCGCCACGTGATTCAAAAACTAACTCTCCATAAATGGAAGACTCACCTTGCAAAAACACTTAGGCCATAGTCACACACAAAGACGTGGTACAGCCACGCTACTGGTCACCGCACTGAAAACAAGGGTTCCATTTTATAATAGGCAAATCTGGAAGGTTTTGGGCAGAATGTGATGTGCATGCAAATGGTACAAACACCTGGAAAATCCGGTGACAACTGCTAGCAAAGTTGCTTATTTCAAGCAGCTCCTAACATTGTAAAATTGGGCTCACAGGCGTTTCCTTACCCCATTTCAGGTGCCGTCTTAATTTATATGACGGAAAATTCGAGTGTTTCTATGCTGAGTGTGCACAATGGCCAGTCCTAGAATCACCATGGGGATGGTAGTGCAGGCATGTCAAATCACCTAGTCGGGGCCTGATGCGCAAAGCACAACCGCATGAGGGGCAATTGCATGAAATCATGCGATTGCAGTTCATGTATATGAAGATCGCCCGATGCATCTATAGTGCAAAACCATGTATTTTCACAACATGGAAAAATCGGGGGATCTTTAGTTATCAGCGCTCATAGCTATGGGCGTTGCAGTGCGCATCGAGGGTCACGGCTGAAATGATGTTTACTGCGGCAAAACTCAGAGCGCCTTTTGGGCAAGCTTCATTTATGAAACTGCAAAACCGTGCATTTAATATACTGAATTGAAAGTGTGAAGATACTTAGCTTGTTAAAGACATCTCCATGGTTTGGCTTCAAAAGTGGGAATCGCCAGCCCTTTGGCTCTAATGTGAATTTTGGACATAATCTATTGTGTCACTGATTGTTGTTCATGGGGTCCATGTACTGCTAGATGAATTTCCTTTGGATACGTATCGGAAAGAAATTCATCTGCTTGTACATGAACCCTATGCACAACAATAAGTAGCATGTACGTACATGTGCACCTTCAATCGGCTTGCCATCCGATTTATTCCGTTCCATATCTCAATTTCATGAGCGCATCTTGGTTTAATTAGCATCCTGCAATATATTGTGAAGTTCACTTCCTAACACCTGAATCTTGACATAATATTACAGGTGGTTGGCAAGCAGAGGTCCCATTTTGAGTGCAACTATTGTGTGTCAAGAAATGTCACACATTGAGCTAAAAAATTGTGCAGATTTGAGAGAGCATAAGTACACATATAGTAAATTTGGCTTTGCGAAATTATACCTATTGCAATCACTAGATGCACTAGAACATAAGAGATGGTTTGAGGCCATGTTTGAAGCCACGCTCTTGGGTTGGCACAAGTTGGCCTTGAAACACAGGATGATACAATGTGGTTAGATTAGATGAATTTGATGTATTTGATTATAAAATGGAACTTCTGAGTGGTTAAAGAGCGAATATATAGTTGTTGGATAGAACGATTTATCTGTTA